ATAGATAGGCAATACTCAATTGACCTATTTGCTGCTTGCTGCCGGTTATTGCATAATGTTCTGAAGCATCACAAAACGTGAGTGTATTCTTTTTGTATGAAAATCCTCATAATAAGTATTTGTAAGGTGTTTCAACCAAAAAAAAGAAGAAAAGATTTGTAGTATGCACTTAACCTTGGGCCAAAGTTGAAAATATAACAGTAAAAAGGTATAGATATGGTATGAAGAGGAGGTTTAATCTTTTTATATTCAGTTTTTGAAGAGGCTTCAGATGCTTATATTCCTCTTGAGTTATTTTTCGTTTTTCAGCTTTCCATCCTCATTAAGTAGACTCTGCATATGATTGCAACTTCTTTTTTTCGTAATTCTAGTGAATGTGAACGGTGCATTGCCGTACTTCAAGCTTCTGTTGGTGTTCTTCTTCATTGTTTGGAGACAGTGGATGCTAATGCAGTCGTCAGGAAAGGTTTCTTTTCGTGGGAAGTGGCAGAGGGAGTCAAATGTGCAGGTTGTCTCCGAAGAATTTATGAAGAGGTAGGTGACTTTTCGTAAATATGCCTCATTAAAAGATCATTATTATCTTAGATTTTGGGTATCTTTCATTATATCCAAAGTCTTATATTTTAATTTTCTGTAGGCCTTTTTTTCTTTTTTACCGGTAGGACCAAAGGCCCCCAAGTATTTCTCCTCCTTAAACAATCAAGTTTCAGCATGATATGTATAATATATAAATGTATATATTTATATGTATTCTTATGACAATGATAGAGCTCACCTGAACCCAGTTACCATAGAGAACATATCGTTAATATTTATATATATATACTTCATGTTTATTTTTTTCTCTTTACCTAGGAACTGGTTTTAAATATCTTCTTGGGAATGGGAGTTATTTACGGCTTCTTTTCAAATTTAATGAAGGGTTGGTGCTTAGTGTATGGGCACCTTTTGGCTCACCAGATCAGCTTTCATGTTAAAGAAAATCATTGCATTTAGAAAACGTATTTGTAGGATAATTGATACATTATTTGCATACAATTTTTGGCTTGTCCATTGCTGAAAACCAGAAGGAGAAAAAAAGAGATCTTTCTCACCTGGTTTTATCATATCTATTTTGCAGATAAGACATCAAAAAGATGTCTTTGGTCCGCACTGTTCCCAATTTTTATCCAATTACATATGGGTTTATTCAGGATATGGGCCCCGTAAAACAGGCATCAAAAGGTAATTTCTGGTACCTTAGACTATTTGTTGTTATGATGTTCATGAGTTTCCTAGTGAACTCGAATAGGCATAACAGATTAATGAATAATGGCGAATCAATTGTATTTGTTAGAAATAATACAATCCAAATTACTTTGTTACATCAATTCCCGCTGGCCTCTAGTTAAGACGGAAAAGGGGCAAGGTTGGTGTAGATCCTATGTTCATAAGTCACTTTCTCCTTCTCATTTTCTCCCCTTAAAAAGTTTTCTGGAAACCTTGAATTTGTAATTATGCTATCACCTTCCAATTTTTATACAATAAGAGGGTAATATTACATTAAAAAAAAGTACCTATTACAATCTCCAAAAGGGTTACCTTTTGGCATGGACAATCTTGGGGTCACAGAAATGCATTGGTTAGCTGAATTATTGTATGTTTAATTTTCAGGGAAATAGACGAAGCTCTAAGACCAGGTGTATATGCTTTAATAGATACTTGCTCAGCAGATGATCTTCAGCGCCTTCATACCTTATTTGGAGGTAAATAATATTGACTTTGTCAGGGCTACAAGGTGTGGCTGGAAGGAATTTCGACTCAGTCTCACATTTTCTTCTTCTTTGTGCAGAGGGTCCTTGCAGAAACACTCTGGCCACCTTGAAACATGATTACGAACTCAATTTCCAATACCAGGGAAAAGTCTAAGGGAAGCTTATTCCTATGTGGGCGGTACCGGCATCGACATTTTGATGCGACTTATACAACTCTTCTAACATGTAAGTTGTAACAAATATTACATGTAATGTATGTGATAATAAATTTTGTAGTCATATCTTTCTCATTTTCAAAGCTACAAATGGTAGCATCCTCATGGAATGGAAGTAACAAAGCTGTTTGTTAGTAATAGGGACTCGGGTCTGAGTCTAACAGAACATATGGGAAGCGGGTAATTTTTGTGTAGCTCTATTTTGAGTGACTTGAGTCTAACGTATGTACCTTCCTTGGTTTTGCATTGTTCCGTGTTAATTTATACATTCAAATGTAAATGGATTTACATTACTTATAAAGTGCAAGTTCTAATGTTTCTTATCAAACAGGTTAATTCTTTTTTTTTCTTTTTAATGTGCATTATATCTAATTGTGGGTTATTAAATAAGGTCTCCAAAGATGACCATGATGGATTTTCAAGTAAAATGCCCTATCCACCCACCACCCTATTCGGCTGGCCCCATGTCATTTGGACCATTTTGTGGTATTATATTCCTAAACGGAATAATTAGGCTGGTATGACAAAGACTGATAGAACATCTACCAAAAGCAGACACCAATACTTGTGCGGTTGAGATTGGACTAGGATATATAGAAGTCTTCGTTTATACGTCAACTGGGTTTTCAGTTTCCATCTACATTTTATCCCTGTAAAATAACTCCTCCCATTGACAAATCCCCTTGAATCGTGATGGGCTGTCACTGTTGTAGAAGAGAAGCCCCCTCATCATACCCAGTTCTGCTTTTCTTGGCAGTGGTCGCTGTACTTCTTCTTCTGTCATCTTTGATCTCTTTCGAGATCGAAGCCCCCAGTTTGCAGATAAATTGGGGGCTTATTGCAGTGCCGTTGCTTTTGCTAGCGATTGTGCATTGGTTGTCATCAATGGAACCTCCCAAGAGGCCCTGTATGATGCCTCGGCCGTGTTGCAAGTGTCCGTACGCTTGCAAGTGTGCCTACTTCTGAACTGATTGTGCTGGTGTTATTCACCATGGTTGGTGCTGTTATATTATCAGACTGAAAAGCTGGTTTGTCTAACACACTCTGTTTCTTGGTTTATTTATTGTATGTAATGAGTTGAAGTTGTTCTTACAACATCAAATATGGGCAATCAAAGAAATAATGATTGTTGTAACATGATCGACAATATCATTGTAAATATTGTGTGTTTTTGTCTCTTGTATTCTTCTCTATCCTTAGTAGCACAACCCAATCAACATACCAATGTTTCTGTCTTTATGAGAGCCCAGGAGAGTTCAGAACCTCATAAAAACTAGCCTATGATTTTCTAATGAACCCACATTTTTTTTAATTAGAGATTTAGGTGGGATGACTCTGATTAAATATCAAATTGATAAGAAGGAAAGAGAGATTGCTCAAAGTTGCAGAGCTTCAATGCAGAAAAGTACTTATTGGCTGCAAACTTTCCATTCGATTTCCAAAAAGGATTACTAATCCTTAACTTTTCGAGGAATCCTTCATCTCCACTGAAGATTTTTTTTTTTTTTTTTTTCCTTATAACAAGCGATATACAGGAGAGAAAATTTGAATACAAGACCTCGGGTGCAGAGATAACTGCTCCTAAGCTACAAGCTCTCACTTCTGAAGTTTAATAAAACATTGTTAAGCTTGTATATTGGAGACAAGTAGTTTAACCGAAATTGTTTCCAATTGGGAATTTTTTATCTTCCATTACCGACATATCACACAGGCTCAGTTAATGTCGACACCACACCACATTGTTTTTCAATATTAAAATTTCACGTCAGGTGGAGGGTTGGGATTGTAATTATTATTTGGGCTGAGTGGATGATGCTTTAAAGTTGCACTACCGACTGTTGTTAAGGCTATAAAGTGTACGGACAGCCCGCCTCTGGTGTGAATGCATGCCCCAATAGAAAAGTGGACCAGTTCGCGCTTTGGTCGACATACAAAACTAAAGGGATGTCGATACAAATATCTTTAACATAAAACGAATGTTTTTCTACTTAGCGCTAATTACACTAGTGCCTCTGAAAATTCTGGTCAAATATCAGATGATATATCACCCTTACACATGGCATAGATTGAGTAGATTAGGCGGATTACAATGAATCTTCAACATCCCTACGTGGCATATATTTCAACAAACTAGTTTATACAGTTCGTGCCACATCAACAATTTTAACAAAACAACAAACTTGATGAGAGATAAAGTGAAACGTAAAAAGTCAATTAAAGAGGCAATATGATCATTAAAACTTCATGAGGTATTGTGATGTTTGACCATAATTCAGGTGACATTAAATAATAGTTATATAAATTATTTAAAAAGGATTTTTACCAAAGCTATTCTTATTGATTCACTATTATTTTAAAATATGCAAAGTCTTATAGATGTATTTGTTTCTTTTTTTACATTTGATTGTCAAAGAAAATTCGCGGTCTAGATAATATATACCAAAGTATATTGATCTCTTTTGAAGTGAGTGAAACTACAAATCCTCTTTTATATAACAATTAAAAACTATACCAACCTTAGTGTTGAACATGTGGTTTCGATTCTATTTTAAAACTTAAATAAAATATTTAGTATTAAAAATACCACGCAGTTTCCATAGATGAATCCATTAAACAAAGTTATTTAAAGGGACAGTTCACTCTACACTATAGTTCAATGATTCGAACACTATAATTTTGTTAAATAAGAAGCTATCAAGAAATAACAATTCAAATGGTCAAGGGTTTTTTTCCCCTGTAAAAGCTTAAAAGTAAGTACGTAAATACATGGATCAATCATTGCGTTTTTATCTTAGAATAGTCTAAACTACAAAGAAAATGAGGTTTCTCACACATACACTATCAAGATGTCATGAAAGTTCGAACTTGAGACCACTTATCTACAAGTTAAAATCCTTTTCACTGGACTAGACGCACAAATATCCTTATTTTTGGATAATTACAAGTACAATTCTTTTTGGCCGGTGCAGATATCTTATTAAAGCCTGATCAAACACTTATGCAGAAGTTAATAGCTCTTCTTCTTATCTTATGTGCCTTGATTTTTTCTTGTGGCCGCATGCATCACCCTTCAGTGCATAAATGAAACTCCACAAAGCAGACACTTACCTGTTTCTTGGCTATAAAACACAAGCCCTTCAATTCCGAACAACCTCCTGAACTTGTCCATTTGAACACTAAAACTTCTCTTCATAATCAAGAAAAACCATCCAACCAATATCCATGGCCTATGGACGAAGCCCAACCAGCTCTTTCATAGAAGGGTTCTCTCTAAGTCCTCTGCCATATCCAGTTCTGCTAATTCTTGCAGTAATCTCAATCTTTTTTGGCATATCCTGGTACTCATCCAATGACTCAGTTGTGGAAGAAGCTGAAACGCAATTCAGTTGGCTGCTTTTGTATACAGCAATAGCACTTCTGCTTCTTGTTAAGTTGCTGTCTTTTCTGGATCCTGATTGGTTCTTCTCCTTGTTTCCATGGGGAAGCCGCAGGATAACCTACCATGAACCTTCAGAGGGAAGCTCACCATGGGGTGTTGCTGCTTTCATTGTGCTCCTGCTAGTTTTGCTGCAATACCAGTCTATTTTCCGGGACAGCTGGCTCATTAAAAAATAAAAAATAAAAAATAAAAAATAAAAAAAGGTTGTGCGTATATGTAGTAGTTGTTGTATATAATGGAATATGATCTTCTACTTATAATTTCTGTACTGATATTGTGAAATAGATTATACTCATGTTTTATTTTCACATCAAGAGCCATATGTTGAGTTGAAACTGAATCTTCAATGATTTTCCATGTGGGTTTTGAATCCTCTATGTGATATTTCTTTTTTCCTAGTGGTTTCATTAGGCTAATTTGATTGCTTGGAAGTAATAATTCAATGTCCAAAGCTACAAGTTACACAAACTTGAGATTCAAGCTAGGTGGTCATTGTAACTTGTAGATATATAAATTCTTTAAAAATGGATTTTTTTTTTTTGGCCAAAGCTTCTTATTGATTCACTATTGTTTTAACATTTGCTAAGTCTTAAAGATTTATTTGTTTCTTTTCTTACTTTTGATTGCCAAAGAAAATTCGTAGTCTCCGATCAAAAGTAATATATACCAAAGTATATCGATCTCTTTTTTTTTTTTCTTGGCTAGATAAATAAAGCTTTGGAGTCCAAGTAAAGCAATAACTCCTAATTCTATTTTATATAACACTTAAAAACCATAACTTTAGAGGTCTAAGGGATAACTCTTCGTAAACCCTAGCATCTCCCTTCTCTCTTCCAGCTAAGTGGGCCCCGTTGTTGAAAAATCATGAGAGAGAATAAGCTTTCAGCATGAAAAATGGGAGAAGCAGAAGAAAATGTGGTGTGACGTCAATGCACTAATGGGGTTGTATGATCTAACGGTGCTAGTGCTTCCATATTTGATTCCAATGGTGCTGATGCTTTCATACAAGAAAATAAAAAAATTACATCTTCTGTTTTACATCTTCACCCATTGGAGCAAAGAACGCATTTACACCTCCCGAAGGTGTAAAGAGAATGTAATACACCCTCCCACTGGTGATACTTTTATCTCCCTACTTATTTTTCTCCTTCCCCATATACTGAATTTGGGGTTTTAATTGTGGGGAGATTATTTATGCCTAGCTTTGTTTTGGATCTTGGTTTTTGCCCAAATCTACTTGGATACGCAGTTTTGTTGGTTGATTTTTCGTTGTACAGTGAGTGACTGCAATCTAGGTGGTGTTCTCTGTCTTAAAGGCGGCGATGGCGATTGTTTTGGTGGATGCAGCAACTGTGGTGGTGGCTCAACTGGTTTTTGGTTATTGTTTGTTTGTAGTTTTCTTATTTTGTAATAATTGCATAAACTCTTTGTGAGTTGGGTGTTTGATTGTTTTCTAGTCTCTACTGGTGTTTTGTACTTGTGAGAATTTAAAAGTTATAGTTGTATTAAAAGATTTGGGCGATATAATTCATGTCTAGTTTGTTCAGGCATGCGGCTTTTATGCTGAAATTTCTTTGCCCTTTTGTGGTGTGTATCTAGATTAACCATATGTGGTTACTATGCTTTCATATTTGTATTATCTCTTTGTGCGTATTCGCCCTTGTAGTTGATGATATTTATGCCTAATTTATGAATACAATTTTCATTTTTCTCTATAAAAAAAAAACTATAACCTAGTGTTGGAACATGTGGATTCGATTCTACTTTAAAACTTAAATAAAACTTAGTTTCCATAGATGGATCCATTAAACAAAGTTATTTAAAGGGATGTACATTATAGAGTTCAATGATTCAAACACTTTTGTTAAATAAAAAGGTACTAAGAAATTCCTAGTTATGAAAAGAAAAAAAAAAAACAATTTAAATGGTCAAAAGTTTTTGTTTTTCCTCTTTGCAGAAAATATGGTAAAACTTAAAATATTTTTTGTCAATCACTGGATTTTTATCTTAGAATCTTAAAAGTATCCTCTTTTTATTTATTTTTTTTTTTTTTGGAGAACTACAAGTATGGTATCCTCCTTTTTTGGTAAGTTACAGTTCTTTTTGGCCGGTGTAGATATTAAGAGCTCTTCTTCTTATCTTCTGTGCCTTCTTTTTCTTGTGGCCCCACCCATGCATCACACCTCCTCCATTTCATTGCATGAATGAAACCCCACAAAGACTTTTATTAAGCAATAAAAACCCAAGCAAATAAGATTAATTTATTAGTTGGCTGTAAAAATTAAAGCAGACACTTCCCTGTTTTTTGGCTATAAAAACACAAGCCCTTCAATTCCTAACAGCCTCTTGAGCTTGTCCATTTGAGCACTAAACCTCTCTTCATGGCCTATGGAAGAAGCCAAACCAGTTCTTTCCTAGAAGGGTTCTCTCTAAGTCCTCTGCCATATCCAGTTCTGCTAATTCTTGCAGTAATCTCAATCTTTCTTGGCATATCCTGGTACTCATCCTATGACTCAGCTGTGGAAGAAGCTGAAACGCAATTCAATTGGTTGCTTTTGGTTACACCAATAGCACTTCTGCTTCTTGTCAAGTTGCTGTCTTCTATGGATCCTGATTGGCTCTTCTCCATGTCTCCACTGGGAAACCGCAGGAGAACCTACTATCCACCTTCAGAGGGAAGCTCGCCATGGGGTGTTGCTGCTTTCATTGTGCTTCTGCTAGTTTTGCTGCAATACCAGTCTATTTTCCGGGACAGCTGGCTCATATAGTATGTTCAGTATTCTGTTTAAAAATTTAAAAAAATTATATAAAAAAAGTTGTGTGTTTATGCAGTAGTTGTTGTATGCAGTGGAATATGATCTACTTCTACTCATATTGTGAAAATAGATTATGGTCTGTTAGACTGTTTATGTTGAGTTGAAACTGAATCTTCAATGGTTTTCCATGTGATTTTTGTCTTTGTTTTTACGTCTAATGATTTCATTAGGCTAATTTGATTGCTGTTGTAACTTGTAAGTGAACATGTTTAGTGAAATTAATATGAAGTAGGTAAGCATGAATTGCTCTGACCAGAAGTAACTCCTTCCTTGAAGGTTTACTTAGAGAGTTTCAAATATATACAAGTTATTTTATATGCGAGTTATATTATGAAAAGGTGGAGCCGCCCAGTCTGTTTGTACTTCATACATATAGACAGGAACATCCCGGTAATCAGGGGATTTACAATCTCCAAATTGTATTTTAGCTGATTGTCTGTGTCTGGTTTCTTGCACAACTTTAATCAAAGTTTGACAATAGCCCTCACCATATCCAAACCTACCACCTTGCCTTGTGGCCCAATGCTAACCAAGCATGTCAAGCAAGTTCGACAGGGCTCGTTTGGTGTGTATGATATCTTACCATTTTGTGAGGATTAAATGGGATAAGTTTTCTTCATGAGTAATCCATCTTCTACCTTCAACATAGTTAAAAAAAATAAATTCATTTCTTCATTTAATATGCTAATGTAGGAAGTTATTTTATTCAATCCAATCCTAGACACCAAACGAGCTCATAATTTATTTTAGATTGAGATTACAATAATTCAAGTGGCATGTAGGCCCTATTGTTGAGGAGTATGGTTAGGTTATATGACATCCAATGTGTACCATTGAATTGTTCAGCCATACAACTTTCATTTCTCCCAACTTTTGAAAACGCTTAATGGAACAATAGAGAAACTACTTGGTCTTTTGTGGGGCAGGAAAAGTTCAACATGTCATCGCTAGTTTTGGTAGCATCTGCAGTGACAGTAAAACTGCAATCTCTGGTGGTAGGTAGTATTTATTGATCAGATGAGGGGAAAAACAAAAAATCAGAGTTTCCCTGAAATCAGTGTTAAAAATTCTACTGTCAATTTCATTCATGTGTAAATCCATAATTTCTGTCACTCAAACCATGTAATTTCAGCATAAATTTTTATGAAGAGAAATTTTTTATAAAAAAAATATATATCAAAACCAACAAGTCATATAAGTCTGGAGAGCCACACAAGTGGACCAATCAGAAGAATGAATACAAGTGGATCAACTACAGAGAAGCATCGATTATAGCTCTCCACCAATTATTGAATCAAATGGCGACCTACCAAGATGAAAAACACATTTGAAGAAAATTAAAACTTATTGACGTAAGTCTTGCCACAATAGAATCTATTGTCTAAAACGTTACAATGCTTCCTTTTATATCTTATAAACATAACATTTCTCTGCACAGCCTACTCCATTTGCATCCAGACAAGGAAGTAGAGGGAGAGGAAAGAACCAACTCTTCTTCTTCTTCCTTCTTATTAACAATGGGTTCCTGTTTCCCTAAACAGAGAGAACGCCGTAAGGCGATCTCAACGGAGAGGAAAACGATGCGTGATCTTCATCAAAGCTGTGGTGAGGACTTTCCAGCTTGTGCCCTTAGGCCTACAGATAGAAAAAATTGGATGGCAGGCCTCAACCCTGAGAAGATTCACATACACAAGATTTTATGGCCCGGAACACATGACTCTGCAACCAACAAGATTGGATTTCCATGCATAACTAGGCCTTTTGCACAATGCCAAACTCTGTCCATCTACCAACAGCTTGTCATAGGCACCAGAGTGCTTGACATTCGGGTTCAAAAGGATCGTCGCGTCTGCCATGGAATTCTTGTCACATACAGCATTGATGTTGTGATCAGAGACATCAAGAAGTTTCTATCTGAAACAAAGTCAGAGATCATACTCCTTGAAATCAGGACTGAATATGGTCATGATGACCCTCCTGATTTTGAGCAGTATTTGGTGAATCAATTTGGGGAGGTTCTCATCCACCAGGATGACAATGTGTTCAACAAGACCATTGCAGAATTGTTTCCGAAGCGAATAATATGCGTGTGGAAGCCAAGGAATTCACCTCAGCCTAAGGCAGGGGACGTTCTATGGAGTTCTGGGCACTTGAAGGATGACTGGATCAACACGGATTTGCCATCGACAAAATTCGAAAGCAACTTGAAGTGTTTGAGTGAGCAGCCTCCAATTTCAACAAGGACATTCTTTTACAGGGTGGAGAACACAGTGACACCTCAGCCTGATTACCCTATTGCGTGTGTGAAACCGGTGACCGGTCGGATTCATGAGTATGCAAGGCTGTTTATTACTCAGTGCTTCTCTAGAGGTATTGCAGATAGGTTGCAAATCTTCTCTACTGATTTTATAGATGAGGATTTTGTTGATGCATGTGTTGCTGTTACATATTCAAGAATTGAACGGAAAGCCTGAATTTCCATTTTTGTGTAATGTCTTGTTCGTCTTCTTGGTTTTCTTGTGGATTTGCTAAAGAAACATAATGCAACAGAAACAAAATATTGGGATGAATTTGAATTAAAAACTTACAAAAAATTGTTGGGAGTTTCACTAAAACACCCAAAATGGAGGTTGAAATTATAAAAAAACCCAACACCCAAAACACTTTATAAACACACCCAAAACTCATCATTACATACACTCAAAACTCATTTATAAACACACCCAAAAAGTTGACTTTGGGGTTGATTTTGGGTGTGTTTCTATGTTTAAATAGTGCTTGGGTTTTTTTATAAATACATGTCTAGGATTGGGTTTATTTATAAATTTGTAAAAATTGTTTTCATACTAAATATGTGATCAAAAAAATTTATAATTAATAGCAACGAAACCCTGCACACTTTGTTAAACGCTATTAGTATTAGGGGTGGGCACGGTACAGTATGGTTCGGTATTGAGCCCGTACCGCTACCGATACCGGAAATTTGAATCGGTATGGTACGGTACGGTATTATGGTTTGCTAAAATTGGTACCATACCGTACCGTGCCAAATCGGTATAGGTACGGTATCGGTACCATTTCGGTACCAAAATGATACAACTAAAAAATGAACTAATTCAATATTCAACACCAAAATAAATGATGCCTAAGTTACAAATTCAAAGATTCAACATATTCAAAATCCATCAAAATTTTCAATATTCAATATCCATTAACATATTCAATATCTAAATCCTAATCAACATATTCAATATCCAAATCCTAATCAACATATTCAATATCCATCAACATATTCAATATCCAAATCAACCAAATCCAAATGGTTACATCAACATATTCATCAAATCCAAATGGTTAAAACTCATGCATTATGGCTTACAAACCAAAAAAGTTAAACTTATGCCTTATGGCTTACAATAATACAAACACAATCCAAACATAGATGACAAAAGCGTTTGAGAAATTGAAAGGCAAGCGAGAGATTGAAAAAAAAAAAAATTATTTCAATAAAGTACTATTCGGTACGGTACGGTATTGACCGGTATCAAAATCTTGATACCGCTACCATACCATACTCGATTGGTACGGTACGGTACGGTACCGAATATCTATCGGTACCAAATGAAACGGTATGAAATCGGTACGGTACGGTGCGGTTAGGATACGGTTTCGGTATTTCGGTTTAAGATGCCTACCCCTAATTAGTATGATGTTCCATATCACAAAAACAAATTCAAGAAATTTTTGCATGATTTCAGAATCTAAATGCGCCTCACTTTTCTTATTTTCATGATTATTCATTGAAACTTATAAGCTTCTCTGAGTTTTTTTAGCTTTTTTTTCTTTTCACTTTTTTGTTTGATAAAAACACACAAATAATTAGGGGTTGCAACTTCAATAATATGATTGAACTTTCAGATGTGATTCTCATGAAAAGAAAAAAAAAACTCACATTTTATAAACAAAATAACGAGATATTGGAGGAAACTTGTGTATGTCCTATTAGAAAAGTTCAAGGATTTGTGTTTGAATATTTTAGAGGAATCCGATTTTGTTTTGGATCTGAAAGTGTGAAATTTGGAAAATTTGGAAAATTAGGCTTATTATGTGAGCGTAATCAGTGAGATTGGGTTTATCTGCGGACCGAAAAAATTCAAAAGTTGTGAAATTTTCAAAAAGAATTAGAATTGTTGGATTTGATAGGAAGGCAAATGCACAACCAGATGCGTCAACAATGGCTGCAACCATGCTGAATTCTTCATTATGATTCATTGATTATCTATCCTGGTTAGAGTGTAAGTAGCCTGTTATTGCCGATACTCACTCCACATATTTGAAATGTAAGCTGGACTTGATATTTATTTTATCTCTTTTTGAAATAGAATATATATTGTGTGCAGGGTGTGATAAAACAAATATGCATGTAAATTAATAACCAAAACACACAAGAATCATGAGTTTATTTACAAATAATTAAGCCGGTCGGAACTTAGATCTAAAATAATTAACCCAGCTCGAGCTTGACAGTAAGCACAATCATCAGAGTTGGCTCAATCTTGTAGTAGCAAGTCTACTGTGATTGGTGACATTGCATGGTTAAAACAAAATGGAGAGACATTCGTTTATCCAACCCACTACATCTTAACAAAGCACAATTCTCTCAACAACCCAAAATAAAAATAATAAAAAAACACAATTAATCTGACATCCCAAGAGGTCCAAACCACTTGGAATGGAAGGATGATTGGTAAGATAGCAAGACCAAAATCAGCACCAACAAGAAGGCAACACCCCACGGTGAGCCTGAGCCACCACCGCCCCTGGCTGGGTGAGCTGGCACACGCTGTGGATGTTGGGACCGAAAGCTGAACCATCCACTAGAAGGTACTGAAGAACATGAAGCTACCACAAATATCAACAAAACAGGCAACACCATTAGGAAGAGCTGGAAATTAAAGGCTGTGTGTTGCATTTGGGCCTTGTACTCTGTGTATTGAGAAAGCCATAGCAAGCCAATGACAATGGCAAAGATGGTGAGCAAATGCAGAGGTGGTGCAGAGATGGAGGCCAAGGTCTGGCAAGTCCACCCTTGTTTCCACTCTGGACCCCTCCTCCTCTTAGGGTAGAACCACTCCATCTTTGTCCTCTTTTTCACTCTTAATTCTCCTTACGACAACAATGTTTATATAAATAAGAATGAAAGGTGATTAGGGTTTGGCTTGCTCTTCACAGTAGGTTAGACTTGCTTTGGCATATATGCTTTGAGTGTAGGCTTTGCCTGCCGCACAAACTTTTTACTTTGTACTAATATGCTCTCAGTCATGTGATGGATACCAAAATTAGCTTCTTAATTAAGGATGAGTCCATGGAATTCCTTTTTATCTTCCTTTGTTCTTCAATTTTAGTTCTTAGCTTTCCATTTGCCAAAGATATAATTTATTTATTCAATTATTTTCGAGTATTACGGCGAAGGCAGTTATTTTTAGGGAGTTTCACTAAAACACCCAAAATGGGAATTGAAATTATAAAAAAACCCAAGCACTATTTAAACATATAAACACACCCAAAAAGTTGACTTTGGGGTTGATTTTGGGTGTGTTTCTATGTTTAAATAGTGCTTGGGTTTTTTTATAAATACACGTCTAGGATTGGGTTTATTTATAAATTTGTATTATTTTTAATTACCAAATTCACTATGAGATATGAGAATTGAGAAAATGAGAGGACCCCTTGATGTTGATTTCATTATGAGAGAGGACCCTTTTGTTCAAAAAAAATTAAGCTTAAAATGACTTGTATTGCTCTAGTGTCCACCAGACAATAAGTGGCCCATGGAAAATGGATAGAAGATATTTCCTATCTTTATGAAGGGAGGAAAACTTAAAAAATGACCACACAAAAAGAAGGAAAAATAAAGAAGAGGAAAAAATCCGTATGATAGACTGGCTCATACATTTGTTACAACAAAGCTTCAAACTCAAAGTACCTTCGCATGGCCCTTTATTTGATCCTGGTGCCGAAACAACCATAATCAAGCTGCAACTTTCTTGGCTGTTACGGAATTGATGATGGTAGCGAATTCAGGACCCTAGGTGATGAAAACTCAATTTGTTAGTGTCATTTGCAAAAAAATTACAAACCAAAAACAAAAAGGTTCTAAACCACAGTACTCTCAAGGCAAATAATTGTGGTAGTATACCTTTAAGGAAGCACCACCAACGAGAAAACCATCAATATCTTCCTTCTTTGCAAGCTCAGCAGAATTGCCCCCATTTACAGACCCTGAAATTGGATCCCAATTTAGTTACAACTCTACCGGATGTCAGATAATCACTGAGAGCTAAGACTAGAATATCCCAACTAGCTGAGCACTGAGCAGAATCATTATGTTCAAATGATTCTGCGACAAGGGTCCAGGTTGGATGTTTCTAAAGTTCTTTACATCTTACAGTTAAAATTCATAGATGATGCCATTATTGCCAATATATTAACATGAATTGGCCTCCTTGACCTATTTTAAGAACATGCATAAATTCTTTCTGTTGCTTAATCACAGAGGTGAAATTTGTAAGAAACTGACAACCAATCAAAAAAAGTTGCAGGAAACAAGCTACCTCCATAAATAATTCTTGTTTTGGATGCAACTTCTGGTGACACATTCTTTTTTAGCCAATCACGAACAGCTACATGTACTTCCTGAGCTTGTTCTGGACTGGCCACCTTACCAGTTCCAATGGCCCATACAGGCTCATAAGCAATAACTATATTATCCCAGCTGGGTACTGCATCTGCACATAATAGACAAATTAGTGTCATACACAACAGACAAGCCATTCATCTTGAAACGGGACTCCAAATTTGGCTGCACAATCATGAAAAAGAAAAAGCATTTAGAAGTTACCTGCAAAAGCCTTCAGTTGCTGAAAGCAGATGTCAAAAGTTTTCCCTGCTTCCCTTTCTTCTAGCTTCTCACCAATGCAAGCAATAACTCCAAGACCCTCGTTCAAGGCATAGGCAGCTTTCTTTCCTATAAACTGCAATTAATAAATTTCAGTTACATTTTGAATTCTTATCATAGATCAGAATATACACTAATCATTTTCTCTAGAGACCTTCATAAAAATTTAAAGAAATATTTGGAACATTCACCTGATCATCTTCCCCAATTACATGCCTCCGTTCTGAGTGTCCAAGAATAACCCATGTGGCCCCAATATCCTTCAATTGTTCAACGCTGCAAAATGGAAATGGTAATTATAGTAATTATATGAGTTCATTAAACTGAAAATGAAACCATAACAGAACTATGAGAGGTATATGTCAACTCAGAGCTTATATATACCACTATTACAAGATCTGTTTTGGATGTTTATGCCAGAATCTTGAAAGGACCACTCATTGTCCTTGCAGAACAATGAACAAATAACCTTTTTGAAATTGATGCCAAATTCAAACAGGATTCTTACAATGTTTGAGAAACAGTTTTCAAGATATAATTCTAGAGGAGCTTCGAAAGGGAGGAGGGAGCGCAGAAATATAAACTATGAACCTACTGCCCAGCAAGTTTAAGATAAGTCGTAATGAGAATAGTCTCCAATCAAGACAACCAAAGATAAATTTGTAATAGCAAGATGAAAATGTATGTATCTGCAAACTACTAAGAAATTTAACAAGGCAGAGTAAACAAACCTGATTTCTCCCGTGAAAGCGCCACCTTTTCCAACCCAAGAATTTTGACCAGATATTTCAATACGATCTGTTAACGAGTTCTTCACCTGATCAATGTAAAGAAATGGTGGTGCAACGACAACATCTGTACATATCATAAGAAAATCAAAAGTTAACAACATTATAAATTCATATTCTTCAATGATATATAAATGAGATCAAAACAAACTGACTTTTACACAAATGACTCCATTCTGTAACTACAAAGTAACATAGCGGACTTGCCACCCTTAACCACCTATGCCCACCAGCTTTTGGCACGTTGCATACAGTTCCAAGTTTCTTCCGTAGCTACAATTATATCACTGCCTTCTTTTCTATATAAGTCATATACACTCAAACTTATTGATCAATTTCAGACACGCAGAGTTCCCTTCCCACCAGATTTTGGTCATTCATCATGTATAATGTATTGGCAAGACTAAAGAAATCTAGTAAACCTACTGCAAATTGAAACAGGTATATACTGAAGATCAAACGTAACATTATCTCACCAACATCTGCTTCCAATTTGGCACTGTTCAAGTCAGAGACTAGCTTGCTGATAGAGTCTTTTGTGCCATTCTGAATGAAACAGCAAAGATGAAAACGTCACAAGAAGAACTGAGCCATCTTAAGATTTTGAACGCGTATATATCTTCAATATCCAACAAAAAGCAGGCTAAGAAAATACATTACGGAAAACAGATTCTACAGAGTTCTTACTTGTAAAATATATATCATTGGAGGTAACACTTGATTAACAACAAATTTAAAATTTAAAATAGAATTGAAATTTCAAGGACAGTGATGCGCTGGATTTATGTTCGGAAAAATAAAATAAAATTGGTTCAAAGGTGGTAGCTTTCGAAAGATGATATAATGAAACTTCAAAATTGAGAACGTGTTGGAAATGTTCTGAGCATTTCAGCCCCTTTGCTCTATGAAGGAAGCAAAAAAATTCATTTAACACAAAGGGAACAATTTACTAGAGGTAGTGCAAACAGACATTGCAGTCAAAAGAATACTTACACACTTCCAGTTTCCACCAACAAAGAACTGCAAACACAACAAAAGATACAATTAATTACAAATATATATATATATATATATATCCAAAGAGGAGAGAATCTATAAGAGTAGAGAATCCAAAAATATCCAGAAATTTCTAGTGAAGAACAATCGCATTCTGAAACTAAGGATAATTTCACCATTTTCTTAATACCTTTAATCAATTGAGATCCAAGATTTTTCCTTTCATTTCGACATTAACCAAACAAAAACAAGGAGAGATAAAAACAAGGAAGTTCGAATAAATGACAGACCTTTCCAGTGCCGGCCATGGCGACGATGCCTCTGGAGGCTTTGCGGGAGGAGGAAGAGAGGCGGAGCTGGGAGTGAAGGTGTTGGAAGAGGGAGAGAGACTGGGTGTGGTCCAACTTGGAGCACGATCGTCGCAGACCGGAGTAAGAGGAGACGGATTTAGGGCCAGAGAGTTGGGAAGCGAGAGATGTGGAGGCCACCGACATGCCTAACTCAGTGAGTTGGAACTTCCGAGTTTGGGTTTGCTTGCTCTGTGTTTTTACTTGTTTTTCACGAGTGAGAGAGTGAGTCACTGAGAGAAAGAGGGTGGTTGGGTTTTATGGTAACCAGAAGGATTGTAGGATAGGAGGGATGGATGGTTCACGCTGTTATTTAGAACGTCAAATGCACGCGATTTTTCCCCTTTTTTCTTCTTTTTTCTTTTTTAAAAACTTTACCAACCAACAATCTAGGGTTTGGTTTTTTTACTGTTGTTTGTTTGCCAGGTACCAACCCAACGATCACCTACCCTATTCCTACCAAAAATTTGCCAACGGCTACGATTCCCTCGTTGGTGGTTGCCCTCGTGGCTTTTCCTTGTAATTTTTACTTTAATACAAAAAATATATATAATTCTATTCAAATTTACTTGATACATAAGATTTATAAACCGAAACATATCTAAAATTAATCTCGAAACATTCTACTCAAATTATTTCCTCAACAAGTGAGTGAGACATGATATTTTCCTTCGTTGCCAATAAATAAATAATTTTATTCTTATGTGTAAGAAAATTATTGTGAAAACCTACCCCCTTGTATAAAAACCAAGAATTAAACATAGGTTTCATCTGAAAAGAACATGGGTCTCATCTATGATGACATTCTTTGGCTATTCAAACCTATATAGGAACATAGGTCTCTTTAGTGATTGACCAAAAAAAAAAAAAAAAAAAGGTCTCTTTAGTGAATTATTATAATAATAAGTAGAGCAACTTCTATGTTTTTACTTCAGAAATGATGGCACAAAATAATAAGATAATATATATTAATGGTCGATGAAAATTGATTTCTGACTTTATTAGAAACATCCCTAGTTGAAGTTGATTAATTAGAAACATAATTAACCAATTCCTACAACTGAACTCTTTGGCTCACTAGAACACAAAGACAAACGTTTATTGATTTTAAAACCTAGTAAGTAAGGGCTGGGAGAGTCTTGGGGTTTCAGTACAAACTAAGAAACGGTTAAGAAAACAGTTGAGATGATAAGGTCAAGTTAGCCGCTTTATTTGTCTTTCATTAAGCATTTGTTGGTCAAGCATGCCAAAGAGACAAAAAAGCATATTCATTTTGGATCAATTTCGGTATTGTTGCATCATATTATGCACCCAATACACACAGACATGCACTCAAAATACACATACATGTATATACACGAGCTTCGGTTCAATGGCGAACAATATATGGTCTCCACTCTTTCGAAGTCCATTTTGAGTTCAAATCTCATAAACGAGAACGACAGTAGTTGAATGAGTAAGGATTCCGCTTAATGAAACAACTGCAATCATATTGAGAAATCTACGGCATAGAAGGCTCTCTGGCCAATTTTCACCATTCACTCCTAGTCTTGGGTTGGATGCTAATCATTTTATCCGTTTATCTAATTTGTGGCTTTCATTGGACATTTCCTTTCTATTCATGCCCATGAAATGAAAGCAACCCCCTCAAAATCCCTTTCAGCAATTTAGTCCAGAAGTTTTCGCCAATCACGGCCCGTGACATCATCACGTATTGGCCTTTTTGGACCTTCAGGATTATGACATAGTTCGTTTTTATACGAAAAGATCTTCAGATTCGTCTGGAGAAAATGCAACACTTTGTAACTACAGACGCTCATCTGGCTTCTCTGCCAAGAGATCTCACAGGCTCTCACTTTACTCAGACGTGATAAGTCTTAATCTCTTACACTATACAGTCTACAATTTCATGCTTTAAATTTACGTCCGACATCATATCCGTGTACAGTCGGACGTATTTTTATGCTCTGATCAGATGCACTTTCAGTGAAAAATTGATTGGTGAGAAGGAACAGAAATGAACATTGTATTATTTCATCTGAGTCATCTCCACGACTCATGAGTAGCCCAACATTTCCCCTTATTCACCTTCACCCTCAATACATAAGAATCCCTAAAAATCCTAGTCAGCAAATGCCATTGAACTAAATTATCGCGGGTTCCACACCAAAGGTTCAGGCCCGGGTCACACAAAATTTCAAAGGATTTGGGATTGGCAAGCATGTTTTCTCATGGTAACCATTTCGAATCCTAGTCAGCACATCTGATCTCTTGCTCACTATTGACCATTGAAATTTGTGGCCCCCAACTGTTTGATCAAATGAGTCTTAGACTCCCATGGGATACAAAACAACAGAAACCTACCTGACCCAATCTTTTCTAGCACTCTCTAGCTAGCTACAATGGCCACACCCTCAAACACCAACTTTAACTCCCATATCTCAGGAAAACAGAGCATTAACCAAAAAGCTTTAGCTGCAGAACAGTTTCCTTGGTGGTTTTCACCAGAAACGGGAATTTACCAAAGCAAACACCTTTCCATTGACCTCCCATCAGACCCTTTTCTTGATATTGTCTCCTTCATTTTCTCACACCAGCATGATGGGGTTTCCTCAGCTCTCATTGGTTCCTCTTGTGGGTCTGCAATATCTTACTCACAGCTCTACTCTTCTGTCAAGTCCATGGCCTCTGGCCTCCAGCAAATGGGAATCTCACAAGGTGATGTTGTTTTGCTTCTTTTGCCAAATTCCATTTACTATCCCATTGCTTTCTTGGGTGTTTTGTACCTTGGTGCTATTGTCACAACCATGAATCCCCTCAGCAATCTAGCAGAAATCAAGAAACAGATTGCTGATACCAAAGCATGTCATGCTTTTACTGGACCTGAGAATGCTGATAAATTACAAGCATTGGGCATTCATGTAATTCTGGTACCCGCAAATGCAATTTCGGGGTTGAAGGGTTCTTCAAAGGACATTTTTTCAGTTTTTTATAAGCTTATTTATAGTAGGTGTTATTTGGCTCTAAGACCAGTGATTAAGCAGCAAGACACTGCTGCAATAATGTATTCGTCCGGGACTACTGGTGTAAGCAAAGGTGTTATGATAACACATAGGAATTTCATTGCTACAGTTGCCCATTTTGTGCGTTTTGAGGCTTCACAGTATGAGGCTTCAAGCTTGGATAATGTGTATTTAGCTGTTCTGCCATTGTTTCATATCTACGGGTTGTCGCTTTTCGTGATGGGGTTGTTGTCTTTAGGATCTAGAATTGTTGTGATGAAGAGATTTGATGTCAATGAGGTGATCAGGGCAATTGATAGGTATAAAGTTACACACTTCCCAGTTGTTCCACCAGTATTGACAGCATTGACAAAAAGAGCCAAGGATGGCTTGGCCCCTCATAGCCTCAAGAGTTTAAAGCAGATTTCTTGTGGTGCAGCTCTGTTGAGCATGAAAACCATAGAGGACTTTGTTCAAACCTTTCCTCACATCGATCTCATTCAGGGCTACGGCATGACTGAGACCACCGCGGTAGGAACTCGTGGTTTCAACACCGAAAAGCTTAGGAAACCCTCTTCAATAGGGGTTTTAGCTCCAAACATGCAAGCTAAAGTGGTGGACTGGAACACTGGATCCCCTATGCCTCCAACAAGTACCGGTGAGCTATGGCTACACGGACCGGGGATTATGAAGGGCTACTTGAACAATGCCAAGGCAACATTGTCAACAATTGATGAAGAGGGCTGGCTACACACCGGAGACATTGTGTTTTTTGATGAAGATGGATACTTACATCTACAAGACCGCTTAAAAGACGCGATCAAATACAAGGGCTTTCAGATTGCTCCTGCAGATTTAGAAGGTGTGCTGATCAACCATCCTGAGATACTTGACGTTGCTGTGGCAGGTGCCATGGATGAAGAAAGTGGAGAGGTTCCTGTGGCTTTTGTGGTGAGGAAGCACAGAAGTGAACTAAACCATGATGCTGTCATGGATTTTGTGGCTGCACAAGTTGCTCCATACAAGAAGGTCAGGAAGGTGGTGTTTGTAGATTCAATTCCAAAGTCTCCAGCTGGGAAGATCTTAAGAAGGGAGCTTAGGAAGTTTTTGAATTCTAGACTCTAGGACAAGTTTAGATTGTCTTCTGGTTTTTGTAGTGGGGTTTTATCACATTTTCTAGGGAAACCAAACAAAAACAAGGAGAGATAAAAACAAGGAAGTTCGAATAAATAACAGACCTTTCCAGTGCCGGCCATGGCGACGATGCCTCTGGAGGCTTTGAGGGAGGAGGAAGAGAGGCGGAGCTGGGAGTGAAGGTGTTGGAAGAGGGAGAGAGACTGGGTGTGGTCCAACTTGGAGACCGGGTGTGGTCCAACTTGGAGCACGATCGTTGCAGACCGGAGTAAGAGGAGACGGATTTAGGGCCAGAGGGTTGGGAAGCGAGAGATGTGGAGGCCACCGCCATGACTGACTCAGTGAGTTGGAGCTTCCGAGTTTGGGTTTGCTTGCTCTGTGTTTTTACTTGTTTTTCACGAGTGAGACAGTGAGTCAGTGAGAGAGAGAGAGGGTCAGGGTGGTTGGGTTAACCAGAAGGGTTGTTAGGATAGGAGGGATGGATGGTTCACGTTGTTATTTAGGACGTCAAATGCACCCCATTTTTTTACTTATTTATTTATTTATTTATTTATTTTATTTTTTAACAAACCAACAATCTAGGGTTTGGTTTTTCTACATCTAGGGTTTGGTTTTTTTACTGGTTGTTTGTTTGTCAGGTACCAACCAAACGATCACCTACCCTATTTCCTACCAAAAATTTGCCAACGGCTAGGATTCCCTCATTGTTGGTTGCCCTCGTGGTTTTTCTTTGTAATTTTCGCCTTTAACACCAAAAAAAATATATAATTATGTTCAAATTTACTTGATACATGAGGTTTATAAACCCAAATGCATATAAAACTAATCTCGAAACATTCTACTCAAATTTTTTCCTCAACAAATGAGTGAGACATGATATTTTCCTTTGTTGCCAATAAATAAATAATTTTATTCTTGTGTAAAAACCAAGAATTAACATAGGTTTCATCTGAAAAGAACATAGGTCTCATCTATGATGACAATCTTTGGCTATTCAAACCTATTTAGGAATCCACCATTTGTGAATTATTAATAACAAGTAGAGCAACTGTTGCCCATTCATTTTCTTCTATGTTTTTACTTCAGAAATGACGACACAAAATAATAAGATAATATTATATGAAGGGTCGATGAAAATTGATTTCTGACTTTATTAGAAACATCCCTAGTTGAAGTTGATTAATTTGAAACATAATTAACCAATTCCTACAACTGAACTCTTTGGCACACTAGAACACAAAGAAACATTTTGGAAAAAGCAAAAGGAGAGAGAAAAATTTTAAAAGAAGCAAAAATGGACAAAAATGCCCTTATTTATTTTTAGATTTCCTAAGGAATCCAATACATTTGCATGTCTTTGATTTGAAAGTTGAGTGGTTTTTTTGTCTTTTTTGAAAAAGCTTTGGCTTTTTCCAAAAGTGAAATTTTTTTTATGTCTAAAACCTAAAAAACCTAAGTTTTTTTTGATTTGAAATTGGTTTAAAACCTAGTAAGCGAGGGCTGGGAAAGTCTTGAGTTTTTTTTTTTTTTTGGTCAAGGAAAGTCTTGAGGTTTCAGTACAAACTAAGAAACAGTTGAGATAATAGATAGTGGCTTTATTTTGTCTTTTCATTAAGCATTTTTGGGTCAAGCATGCCAAAGAGACAAAAAAGCATATTCATTTTGGATCAATTTCGGTATGGTTGCATCATATCATGCACCCAATGGACACATACATGTATATACACAAGCTTCGGTTTAATGGCGAACGAAATATGATCTCCTCTTTTTCGAAGTCCATCTTGAGTTCAAATCTCATAAACGAGTACAACAGTAGTTGAATCAGTAAGGATTCCGCTTAATGAAGCAACTGCAATAAAATTGAGAAATCTACGGCATAGAAGGCTCTCTGGCCAATTTTCACCATTCATTCCTAGTCTTGGGTTGGATGCTAATCATTTGATCCGTTTATCGAATTTGTGGCTTTCATTGGACATTTCCTTTCTATTCATGCCCATGAAATGAAAGCACCCCACTCAAAATCCCTTTCAGCAATTAAGTCCTTCAAATGTTTTCACCAATCACAGCCCGTGCCATCACGTATTGGCCTTTTTGGACCTCAACTCAAAGATTCTGGATTATGACATGGTTCGTTTTTATACGAAAAGATCTTCAGATTCGTCTGGACAAAATGCAACACTTTTAACTACAGCAGCTCATCTGGCTTCTATGCCAAGAGATCTCACAGGCTCTCACTTTACTAAGACGTGATAAGTCTTAGTCTCTTACACTATACAGTCTAAAATTTCATGCTTAAAAATTATGTCCGAAGTCATATCCGTGTACAGTCGGACGTATTTTTATACTCAGATCAGATGCACTTTCAGTGAAAAATTGATTGGTGAGAAGGAACAGAAATGAACATTGTATTATTCATCTGAGTCATCTCCATGACTCATGAGTAGATTTCCCCTTATTCACCTTATTCATGACAATATTTCCCCTTACTCACCTTCACCCTCAATACAAAAGAATCCCTAAAAATCCCTGCAGCAGCTTCTATCCGCTACAGCTAGATGCAAAGGCCACAATAAACCACATACACTGTTTTCACATTTTCACTGAATAAAATAATGTCTTTCTTGAATATCAAGACTGCTATTTACAACAAAAAATACATATTCCTGTGGACTAGATAACCCTATCTTGTATATTTCCCTACTGCAATATCAGTGTCTAAACATGCTAACAAAGAGAATATGGAAATCCATTCAACGCCCCATACCTTGCTAATGAAAACCAACCAACATCGTTTGCCACCTTAATGCAAGAAGACACCTGCAGAAAACAAAATCTTTATATTTAGTACTAACACCATAAGCATTCTGCCACAATATATACAGTAGTTTAGTTCAGAGCTATGCCGCATGTTCAAGCAACCTTAAAAAACAGTTCACTAAAATCAAACAAATGGAGCACTTTGTTGACGCTATTGAAGAACAAAATGACCCTGCCTTGTTCTGTACTTTGTTACCTTTTCTCTTTTTAGTCATCAGCTTTTGTGCCACCAACTACGCTATTAGATGAGCTATCCTGTACACTACGAGAAGAAGAACATCTGCTTGAAGAACTCCCTTCTGTAACCTTGATTTCCTTCCTCGCTGACTTCTGAGATTTTCTTCGTACTGATGATAAATCCTACAAAACAATCAATACGTCAATAAGGACTGAACTGTCATAGCCCCAAAAGGTAAGATAAAGCCAACAAGCTCCATTATAATTTTATTAAACATGGTTGAAAAGCTTTATATCATTCTTTAAACAACTTGGAAGGCTACAACTGACCTGATCAGTCATAGATCCAGGAGTTTTCAATTCTAGTTCTGTCGTAACATCATTTGAATCCTCACTTCTGTCAATTTTACTCTCCCCGGATAATTTGTTTCTGGAATCTTGTTTGCCTGAAACACGAGACCGACTTCCTGGATGCACTACTGGCGATACATATTGGGTGGACTGCTGTTCAACCAGAGTATTAGGAGTAACATATGGAACAAAAGTTGAACAGGGGTTAGGAATGACCCCAGGATTCTGATTTGGGAAATAATGGTATGGCTGCATATGTGGATGCATGGGAATTGGACCTGGAGGTATTGGCATTGGCATTGGATATGGATATGAAGGTGGGGCCATTACAACCGAGTGATCCATAGCACCCCAAGGGAACATAGCCCTGAGTCTCTGCTGATACTGAGCATTAAGGTTCTCAATGTCAGATTTAAGAGATGCCTTCTCTTCTCTGAGATCATTTTTCTCATGTGTCAACTGTTTATAAACAAAATAGTGATTAGATGCCCCATAAAAGAATCCAGCATTGGGCATAGTTCACCAGGATATAAAAATAAATAAATAAATAAAACACTAAATCACCTCGCGAGACTCTTCGGTTAGTGAAGCACAATTAGCTTTAAGTTTGTCTACTTCCGATGTCAAATCCTTCAGCACTTGAATTGTATCAGCTAAAATGGTTGCTTTGTCATTTTTGGGTCTGTCTGGATCTGCGTTTTACAGTAACAAATGTAAATCAATACAAAAGTGTGGGATATTCATGTATCCAGCAGTTATACAGGAAAATCCATAAACGTGCACCATAATGAAAGTTGCAAGCAGTTATACAGGAAGAATACTACACATTAGTAAGTTGAAGTAATTCCCATAAACCAAACGAAGGAACTTGTGCAAATATGCAGTGGCGCAAAGAATTTTCAAATGCAACTCTATATAACGTAGTGGCAGATAAATCGTGTCATATGGCACTCAGCTCCATAAGGACATTCAAACATAAACAATCTACTCATGCACAGTACTATAAAGAAATGATACAAACATAAGACAATAAGATTTGACAATAGAAATAGTTGTAGATGCCAACATCTCTATCATGATATCTATGCCAAAGAGGTAGCCAAAGCCCATATGATAAATGGAGTACCTAAAAGATATAAAATCCAAAAACAATAGAGTATAACAATTCAATTGTACCTAAAACATTCCCCAACTCAAGAAACTGCTCGTTCAGTCGATCCCTCCTCAACTTCTCCCGGTCAGCCTTCTGAATCTTCCTAGCAGTTAGACAATCCTTAGTTTCCCCTTCAGGCCTTTGGCTGCAAACAGTAATCCATCACGGATTGACTAGAGGGTAACCACCAATTCTGGTGTGCAAGAAAGTCAACTATTGAAAAGGCATTGTGCACACATTGATTTGATAACTGGGTTCACAAACTTCACATCATAGAATTTGCACACAACAAATCATTCTCTAAATTAAACTTTTAAATGTGTTTAGCCACAGTTCTCAATTTGATTGTAAGCCCATTTACACTTAAAAATGCATATGAACCTTGAGACAAAACAAAAATTATTCATAATTAGCTCAATCAGAAACAAACATTTACACTGAAAAATGCACATGAACCTTGAGACAAAACAAAAATTATTCATAATTAGCTCTATCAGAAACAAACCCAGAAATGATAACACCATAAATCCAAGACTCAATCGTTTTAATTGGACCCCCTGGTGATAAAATGCCAAAATATACAAAATTTAACAAACAAAAAAAACCAGAGATAGAAAGAGCACG